GAGACAAAACCATCACCACTGACAAATACAAATTTATAGATAAAAATAGCAAATAAATGAGGTACATATAAATGCTAATTGAAAAACAAAGCATTAACTACGTTAATCCACATTTCGTAAGTTTGCAATAACAATGATAATATGGGGTTCAAAGCACCGACTACTGACTTATTCTTTATGGGTATGTCTACACTACCCTCCTAGTTCGAACTAGGAGGGTAGTGTAGACATACCCATAAAGAATAAGATTCTACTAGTATCAAGATAAAAAGACTAGCCCTAAAAACTGAGGCATTCCCTTCCCAGCTCACCTGAACTTCTTATAGGATTGTATAAATTTCACATTCCAAGAATAGAAAACATATTTGATGACTTCATTTTCTCCAGCTACCATGCTTCCTCTCTCCTTCCTTCAGCATGTAGTGTAGTCCCATTTTCTCAGCTTCTTTTTTGATCAGGTCAGGTGGTTGTAGATCTAGTGACAGATATTATCAGTGACTAAAGAGGTAGGAAAATGTTAGTCTCATAGGGTATGTCTACACTACCCCGCTAGTTCGAACTAGCGGGGTAGTGTAGACATACCCTATGAGACTAACATTTTCCTACCTCTTTAGTCACTGATAATATCTGTCACTAGATCTACAACCACCTGACCTGATCAAAAAAGAAGCTGAGAAAATGGGACTACACTACATGCTGAAGGAAGGAGAGAGGAAGCATGGTAGCTGGAGAAAATGAAGTCATCAAATATGTTTTCTATTCTTGGAATGTGAAATTTATACAATCCTATAAGAAGTTCAGGTGAGCTGGGAAGGGAATGCCTCAGTTTTTAGGGCTAGTCTTTTTATCTTGATACTAGTAGAATTTTGTCCAAACAGTTACATAGACCAAGAGACTGGAATACTTCATTGAGAAGCTCCTAGCCATATTATGGAAAAGAAATAGCTCAGATTTGCCAATCAGATGTAAAATAAATAGTCTTGCCTAAGATACAAGAGCAGGCCTTTAGAGAGGAGATCCTGCCTTCTTAGGAGAGAAAAGAAGAGACCTGTGTAATATCTACACTACATCCAAATATGAACGCCTTCTTTATCAGTCTGGGATTATGACAGGTCACTTTCTCCTCTTTTTTCTGAATCACTCCTACTAGTGGAAGAGGGAGGAAGGCACAGAGATGCTAATACAACCGATGAGGCTCAAAGAATTGCTGATGAAAATTAGATATCCCTTCTAGGGCAGCTTTTATTTTCCGGTCTTCTGGGTCCTCTGGGGGAAAAAAACCCCCCGCTTGCCAGGAATTAATTCATCCTCTACCCTACTGTATCAATGCTGCAGGAGAAGGAAGAGAAAGCTTTTGGATTGTGAGACTCTGCAGATATTCAGGGCCTGTCAAATGAACCTTTTCTCTCTGTCAAGACCTTCCCTAGAGGCGTCTCAGACAGAGTGTTAGGGACACAGAGACAATCTCACCCCCAGCAAGCCATTCAGACTGAGCTCTTTTCCCCACAGGAGATCAATGGAGTGGAAGCCATTGTGAGAGAGCTCCTCTTCTATGGCTCCTAAGAGGGTCGCCTCATCAATGGAGCAAGAGTCCCACAATGTGAACTATTACGAAACATTAAACCCCCTTAGCTTGGTTTGGGTTAACGATGGCATGCCAACTTCACCAAGGGCTTGGGGTTCCCCAGTTAAAGATATACTCATTTATGCTCCTTTCCGTTGCATTTGGGCTGTCACCCAAGTCCCTACTTCTCACAAATGGATTATTTTTAGGCATTTCTCCATTCAGAAATATCCTTTTCATCAGCTCTTCCCACAAATACCAATAAAATCAAAGTAGCAGCTCTCACAATGATCGTGCTGAAGTGTTCCCTATTCTAGAGTTCCAGTGGAAGAAGACTCCTTGCCCAATCCTATATTTTATGCAGTTCATATTTATGGCATACATCACTAGTAAGTCTAGAGTCTAGACCACATTCACTTCCCATTCTAAAGTTCATGTGCTTTTTATAGACGTGAATTGTTACAGCAGTTCATTTTTAGCAAAAGGTTAAGATTGAACCAGTAATACAGGACAACATTTAGTGTAACAATCAACACAGTTAACATTACAAAAAGAATACGCACCCAGCTAGCAATTGTCTTAATTTGGTGTAAAGTTCTGTGTCCTGGCAATGCAGCAGCAACAAGGCTTGTGTTATTTTTGCCAATTCTATTGGTTTGTACTTATCCAAGTATTTATGTAGAAGAGAAGCAATTCTGAAACCAATAAGAGAGATAAATTCACGCATTATAATTTTGTGGAAAAACATTGCAGAGGAACTTCTTATATCATAAACAATACATCACTTAGGTGTTGTCTAAACCCCTACAACTTATTGCATATGGGTGGACTGTGTAGCATCCGTATGAAGTGCAAATGACTTCAATGGAGCTCCTAAGAGGGTCGCCTCATCAATGGAGCAAGAGTCCCACAATGTGAACTATTACGAAACATTAAACCCCCTTAGCTTGGTTTGGGTTAACGATGGCATGCCAACTTCACCAAGGGCTTGGGGTTCCCCAGTTAAAGATATACTCATTTATGCTCCTTTCCGTTGCATTTGGGCTGTCACCCAAGTCCCTACTTCTCACAAATGGATTATTTTTAGGCATTTCTCCATTCAGAAATATCCTTTTCATCAGCTCTTCCCACAAATACCAATAAAATCAAAGTAGCAGCTCTCACAATGATCGTGCTGAAGTGTTCCCTATTCTAATACTTCGTGCTGAAGTATTCCCTATGAATTGCAGGACTGGAGTCTTAGGGAGTAACCCAATGGTAACTGATCACTGTTAATTTGTATTATCTCTATAATGTAAGGACTGAGACAGTCAGAGCTCTGCATTTGCTCTGAGGTGCCTCTCCCTTGCTCAGTCTTTCAAAGACTCTTGTACGCTAATGGGTTTTAACAATCAATATAAAGTTAGTAGCAGATGTACCCAGCATTGCTCAAGTCTGTAAGTGAAGATTTTTTTTTTAAATAAATGGAAAATATAAGATACAGGGAGGCTCAGGGCAAAGGGAGGAAGGTGCTGAAGTCAAGACAGGTGGGAGTGCAGAACTCGGAGCAGGAGACTAGGGAGATGGAGGGGGGGAACTTACCAGGGCCACCTGTGGCAGCGAGGGTGGCACTACTCTAGTGGCGACTCCTCTTGGGGGGCTGAGGCAGTACTTTCCTGCCAGTGGTGCCCCCCCCCCAATTCCCCTCCCTCCGTGGCCAGCAGGCTGTCTCAGGGGAGGGGGGGACCAGGCTCTGGAGGCTGACACCCCCTCTAGCTGCTCCCCTCAGGCAGCCTGCAGACTATGTAAAGGTTCGAGGCTTCAAGGACTGCACCCTGCTGCTGCAACTCCCTCTCCCCTGCAGCCTGTCCAGAGTTTCAAGGCTCCAGGGCTGCCCCCTCCTGAAGCACCCCCTGCACGGCCTGCAGGCTGTTTGGGGGGAGGCCAGGCTCTGAGGGTTCCCCCCCTGGCCTGCAGACTGTTGGGGAGGCGAGACTCTGGGGATCCCCCCCCCAGCAGCCTGCAGGCTGTCTGAGGAGGGGCCTCTCCACTGGTCCCCTCATGGCCTTCAGGCTCTCCATGGGAAGGGGGGGGGGCGGCAGGGCTGGCTCCAAGTTTAGGGCAGGGGGATCCTTATCAGTGTGCTGGCAGGCAATATGGTGGACCCCCAGCTCTGCTGGCTATTCCCTTGGTGCTGCAGCTGCACCCAATGGCCACTTTCAGTATCATGCCTCTCCCCTCTCTGTGGCCTTCCCTATCCATGTTATGGGATATAGTCCCATTCCAGACACGTGGCATTTTCCAGGCACAACCAAACCCTGACCTTGGTTTAAGTTAGGGTAAGAGGAAGCTGCATACCAAATTTGATGGTCCTAACTCTTACGGTTTAGGAGGAGTTCTTGAACAGATAGACACACAGATAGACAAACTGTAAAAGATAGACAGACAGACAGACAGACAGACAAACCGATAAAGACAGCTTCCTACTTCTCTAACAAGGAAAATATGTCTCTTTTGGGAGGAAAGAAAGTTCACACTCTGCCAGAATAATCTACTTTCCTATTTTCTTATGCTGACTTTTTACTTAGTTTGCTTGCTGTGAAATTTAGAAAATAAGAGCCAGGGGACCAGATACTTGAATGGGGCAAGCTGGAAGAGTTCCATCAACTTTAGTGAAACTATACCAGTTTACACTAAGGTTACGACTGCACTGTAGAGTTTTTGCACAAAAACTCACAGACTGTCCAAACTACAAGCATGATTTTGTGCAAGAAAATGTACAGTAGATCATCAGAAGACAGGGCTTTTTGTGCAAGAGTTATTCCTCTTTCTATGAGGAATAAGCCTTTTTGCGCAAGGGCTCTTGTGCAAAAAGGCGTGTGTGGACGGACAACAGGGGTTTCTTGCGCAAGAAATCCCTATCAGAAAAGCACAAGAGCATCCATGGCAGTGTGGACACTCTCTTGCGCAAGAAAGTGTAGACGTAGCCTCAGAGAGGAACTGCCTTGGTCGAATACATGAACTAATAATTCAAAATAGAGTCTGATAAACGGGAGAAAAAAATTCAACAGAAAATCAGATCAGCTATCAAATGTGCAGGATCAGTGTGTTTGTTACAGAATACTTAACAAAACATCAGAACGTACCAAAGTATTTCTCCTGTTCTCAATTTCTTAACCAAAATGGACAGGGCAGAGTTCAGACCACAACCTTTTCTCAGGCACTCTCCTCCTCACTATTCCAGGAAACGCTACTATTACGATCCTCCCCTATCTGAGCCTGAGTTCCTGTCAGCTTCTTTTTTGCATCCGTCAAGTTTGTCATATGTATGTATTCTGAACTGTGTATCTGTATTGTATCACAGAGTCAGTAACAGAGCAAAGAGCCTGTGAGTTCACTCATTCATAAACAACATAAGGATGTTATAGGCAATTTGGTGAGACCACATGTATTTCTAAGGAAAATCCTGAACCAAATTAATCACTTTGGATGCAGCTATGAAACATAACTAAGGAACATAAGCATGACATATATACATTGCAAATATACCCTGGATTTATCAGCTTCCAATTCCAACCCTCCTCAAATCTGACCACATTTGCCTCATATGTGAGTATTCCTCATGCCTGAGTATTTTTCTGTAGAAACTGGATATTGCTTACAAGGAAAATTCAATGTACTGTCGTGTTGTTATTAGAAAAAATTACTTTTGAATCAGATGTGAATTTCTACATTCCATTTCTTCCATTGCCTCCACTACTATTAATGCTTGTTGACAGTTAAATTCTTCCACCACTAGTAGTGCAGTTGCTATTAACCTGAACAGAAAGAGAAAAAGATGCATTTTGCAAGTTTCCAACAATTCTCCTGTGTAACAGAAGAGAATACAATAGTCATATTTGTCTGAGAGAAGGCGGGAAAAGAGATTTGTACTGAGGGAGCTATAGTCGAAAATTATGGAAACAAAGTGGTATTATAGGCTACAAATGTTAAACTATTCAATATCAGTCTGCCAATGAATTTCCAAACTTTTTTTTAAATACAATCAGGTTAAATAGAGAACTCTGGATCTCTGGATTTTTAATCCAGTGCTGCTGCATCAGTTTGTATTGACATCAATTTGGGCCAGAAATTCTCCACTGTGGACCAACAAATCCGCGTGAGCACAGCTAACCACTGTCTCTTGTGGGGCAAGTGCTACAAAGGGGCATAACCCCCTACACCAATATCTCAACTTTCCCTTGAAGTCCAGCTTATGATAGCAAAGAAAAGTTAGAAAATGTAACCAATTTGCAGACTGCTGAAAACAATGGCTCACAGAGGCCCTCCGCTACCACCACCGTGGCATGGAACAGAGTGTAGCATGAGAAAATTAGACAGAACCAACCCCCGCACACAATTACAACCCAGCTGTTGGGATAAGTACAAGTAAGCCCCCTGCTCCTCTGGGGCAGAATGGGGAAGAGGGACTCCTGGCTACTGCTGTTCTTGAATAATGTGAAGACACATGTTTTGCTCTCCCAATTTCTTTGGGGCTTGCCACTTCCATTGCAAGTGGAGGGAAGCACCACATTCTTAGTAATGAAATTATGAGGGCAGGGCTGCCCTTCCTCCTTCCAGATAACAGCTTTTGAGACAAACTGTTACAACATTATATCACCAAGGTAACAACAAATTTGCAGTCTAAATTTAGACAACTAGAAACCAAAATTGCTACTCTTCTCATGCATGCATGGATAACACAGAGTAGCAGGCAAGTCAATGATTTTAATAACTTATTGAGCATGGGGAAAACTCAGATTTGTATGGCTTTAAACTTTCAAAGTCTTAGTTTCAGTAATCATATTAATTATTAGTTTGAGTGAACATGTGCACACGCTCTAGGCATTAATAAGATGTAAACAGAGCTAAACTTACCGTTCTTTTACCTCTGGTCCTGCCATCGGTCCTAGAGTTGCAAATAATTTTGCAAAGCTCACAGGATTGTTACAATCATCAATAATTTCAGTCAGCTTCTGTTTAATGACTAATCGGAATTCAGTATTGTTGAACTGTAGAGACTGGTATAGTCCAAGGAGAATACTGATGTTGTCTAGATCAAGCTGACTAGGATTATCAAGGAAGACCTTATTGCACTTTTCCAGCAATGGACGGTAAGTTTGTCTGATATTTCGAAGAAACTGCACCATCCTTCTGGCATGATTGAAATGGATGACATTTGCTGTTTCCAACAGAACTTCAGCCTTTTTTATTAATCGTTTTTGAAAACTATGTGAGGTAACACTAGATATGCTGACCATCAAAACCGACAAGACCCTAAAAACATTGAAGAAATTTTACACTTAAACACTGAGCTTTAAGAAACCTAACAACATTTTAAGAGTAACTAAATGACAAAAGAGACAAGGAACAGGTTTTAGTAGAGGTTGTTGCAGAAAAATCCCATCTAGGGAAAAAAATCTCCATTAAAGCAAAACTAATGAAAAATTCTGTTTCTGCGGGGAGTCATAAAAAGTTGGGAGTTTTCTGCTATATAGAAACTGAGTATTTGCAGGTGTAAACTGCCTGGAATGAACCTGCATCATGAGATATCCCTGGCTGTTCACTTGAGCGTAAATCTTAGAAAAGACACGGTAAAACTCAAGAGTTAGGGTACACTAATTATCTCCTGCTTTTCCATTGGCACAGTTGAAAACTACAGGTTGGACCTCCCTGGCCTGGCACCCTCAGGACCTGACCCATTCTGGATGATTGATTTTGCCAGGCAGGGGAGGTCATTTCTGGCCAGGAAGCCACACTGCCATGCCTGAGGTTGCTACTTGCCCTGAAAGCTCGCAGGGCTCCCAGGAGCTAGCTCTCCAGCAGAATATTCTGGTCCTGGAACATCCATGGTCCAGCACCCGGACCAGAGAGTCCTGCTTAAGAAAGTTTCAACCTGTACTTTTTTAAGCAAGCTGTGGATAGCAAAAGGACCGAGTAAATTCTTGAACAAGCTTTGCACATGTTCTCCCCAAAGAGACTCAGAAGATGACTCACTGTAATTTACCCATTCTCCCATGCAGATTGATTCTATACCACTGTACAATTATTTGCCAATTTTGAAGAGCTGATAAAAAGTCATAGTCTTGAATAAGCAAGGCATAATAATTCTGTGTGCATATTACATCTACTATTAGTCAGCTTCACCACATCAAAATTACCTTGTGTCCTGTATAGAATCCAAGTTCTTGTTTACGATATCTGCTATTTTGCCAGTTAGAGGGCTAAAGTATATATGTTGATCATTTAGACACATTGCAAACTTAGACAGATTTGGCAGACTAAACCTGTTGATACAGCAAACAAAAGAAAACTAAATGCTAAACATTTATTTTTCTTTTCATAAGAACATGGAGGTAAAACATCTACAGGTTGGACCTCACTGGTCCAACCAGACTGGTCCCAGGTGAGGGATTTGTTGGATCAGGAGAGATCATTTCTGGGCCCCCAGCTGCCAGCCCCACTCCCTGTCACCCCAACAGGTTCTCTCAACAGCCTTCCTGGCTCCCTCCACTCCTCACCCCAGCTGAGCCACAAGCCGGCTCACAACTCTCTCTTCAGCCCAGCTGAGCCATGGACTGGCCTTCCCACCTCCCCACCCCTGCCCAACTAAGCCGTGTGCTAAGCTCTCTCCTCTCCCACGCACTGTGCTGGGATTCTCTGATCCTGGAACATTCATGATCCTACCAGGCCATGGATGTTGCTGGACCAGAGAGTCCCAGTTTATAAAGGTGCAACCTGTACTATGATAATTCAGTTAGAGAGGATACAGAAGTTTGAAATAAATAAACAAACAACCCCCCAAATCAGAACAATATAAAATGTTTTCCTGATAGTCCATATCCTACTAACATTGATACCTCAACCAAAATACAATAATGAATAGTCCTGTGGCATCTTAGAGAATTACAAAAGTATATAGGATCATGAGCTTTCGTGAGTAAAACCCACTTCATCAGATGATCTGGAGTTTAAGTAACAAAATCCAAGATATATATAATAAGGATGTTAAAATACATTTAATCAAGTAAACATGTAACTGCTGAAAAGTTCAGCAATTAGACACCGGGGGCCAGCAGCTTACACTTTTAAGCCAGCTCCTCATGCACTCCAGCTCCCACCTGCCCCTCCAATACAGAGGCAGCAGTGCAGGGGGCAGATGGCTCCCCAGCAGCCGGTGTGTACCAGGAGCCAGCTTAAAAGTTGGCTCCCTGTGCATACTGGGAGCCTGTGTGTAACTGTGAAGGTTAACCAATAAGCCCAGGCTCAGCAGTTAACCATGTACACCATTACACTTTCACATCCCTAATACGTAACAGCAAAAGCAGTTATCTGTCAATTGTAGGACCTGTGCTAATGAAGCTAATTAAGTAGGTTGGATGTGTTCCATTCATAGCTTTTGATGTGAAAATGCGAATGTCAAAATAAAATATTAGCCCATAAGGAGAGAGTTCTGAACTCCCTCAAACCTATGACAATAATTGTGTCTACCTGGTTTGGTAAAATACAGGAGTTCTTAGGTTTAGTAAGGCCAGCTTAATGGTGTGGATAGGACTATTCTATCATAAAGTAAACTACTGTCACTTTGGATAAATGCTGCTGAGATGAATCTGAAGTCATTTGGTGTGGGTATTAGTATGTACTATAGGGTTGTCACTAACCTGGCAGTGTGTCTTAGCAATTAGGCTAAGACAGGCTCTTTTGTCCTGTTACTGACAATGGAAGAGAATGATGATAGCCCCTGCATTTAGCCAGGGACTAGACAACAAAAAATGCCATCTCAAAATTAATACAAATGCAAAATAAGAAAAATCTGAGGATTCT